GCAAAAAAGAAAAAAAAAAGTAACAAATAAATATATAAAAAACAAAACAAAATAATAAGCGCTGGGGCATGGCTCCCAGCAGGCCCCTGGCCTGGGTGCACAGGCACCAGCTTCCACCCACATTGTCCAATGTAAGTACACACATAAACCAGAAGGAAAGAAGTGACCACTTAGGACTGAACACTGCTCCTGTCTTTACAGTAAGGCAGGCATAGAGCATACTTCTTCAGGTTTTTAGGGGAAGGGACTCCCTAACCCACTGCCAAGCCATGAACCTGGGTCCTGTTATGTTGGGATGTGGTTGGGGTACAGACTGCAAGGAGCTGAGGGAGTGGGGGCAGACCCAGAGCTGGGAACCCCGTGAGGGCTCCCCGTCCCCAGAGCCGGCAGGCACAGGCCCCAGGGTCACGCAGGCACTGGCTGCAAAGGAGGTTGCCAGCTGTCCCTGTGGCGCAGGTTGGGAGCCAGGCAGCGGGTGCAGGGCAGACATGGCTCTGAGGCTGCTGCTCTGGATCTGTCCACAGGGGGTCGGTGTGGCCCACAAAGGCACCTGGGGGGCAGGAGGGAGGTGAGAGTGCCCATTGCATTTGAACTTCAGACAGCATGAGTGGTTTAAAAGCTCGAACCTTCCCAAGGCTGCCCAGGAGCCAGGTAAGCCAGACTCCAGGCTGTGCCTGTCTGACTCAGCACAGCTCCACCCGCTGGACAACTGGGACTCTGGGTAGCCATGTAGGGAGCAGCGCTGGGTGGCACACCAGGCCACACCAGCCCTGTGGTGACTCAGGTGCCTCTTCCACTGGGGCGCAGCACAGACAGAGCTCCTGAACCTTGCCTCTGACTCACTTGAGGTACGAGGTCCTGGCCCACTGGCCCGCTCAGGACTCCTGGGTTGAGACCTATGTGGGGTGAAGATGTGGCAAAGATCCAAGGTCAAGGAGTGGGTCCATTCACCGCCCCAGGAGCCACTTTCCTCATACTCAATGTCCTTAACACCTTTCCAGACTTGTGCCGTGCACAACCTGAACAGCTGAGCCACGTGGTCCTGGGCAAGCTCCTTTGCCCTCTTTGCCCAGAGGCCAGGGTTCCACAGTCACCGCTGTGATGGCCTCCCTTTGAGATTCCAGGGTGTAATGAAGTCACAAATGTGACAGACTATCTGTGATCTGAGGCAGAAGCTAAGTCACTTTTTCTTCCCCCCACCTGTCCCCTTGCCTGAGGGAGCCACTGGGCAGAGATGGAGCTCAGGCCTCTCTCAGCTGGAGCAGCACCTCGCTGAACACTCAGGTGGGGGACACATGCCAGCCCTCCAGCTGGCGCCCTTGGTACCTCTCCCCTCCACATGAAGCCCTGGGCCCCTGTGGCCCTGATGTTCCCGGAGCTGGAGCAGCACTAGGGCTGAGGGGCTATGGCCCACGGGAAGCTCCCTGCCCCTGCGCAGGGCGCCTCTGAGGACTCCTCTCCTGCTCCCCCAACCCAGGGGCCTCCGGGGCCTTGGGCCAGGACACACGGTCCCTCCTGGACTCCCAGGGTGCTCCACCCAGCACCACCCAGGAGTGAGGCCCCAGGTTTGACAGAGGTAACAGTTGGCTGGCAGGCCCACAGATACCCTCCCTGCCCTGAGAGATGGCAGCCGTCCCTCTGATGGGATAGTGAGCTACAGGGAAGGGCCTGCCAAGGCTGCTGGCCCATGGTGGCAGGCACGACCTGGCCTCTGGCCTCATCCGAGTTCTCTGCCCTCCCCAGCAAGCGTGAGGATGGGATGGGCCCTGGGTGGACGGAGCGGCTCGCGTGCTATAGGGGTCTCTGCCACTGAGAGGCGGAATGCTGCCCGGGTGAGTGCTGGGCACGGCAGGCCAGGGCGGCCCTCACCAGCCAGGAAGCCGGCTTCTATCTCTGGGCAGCAGCCAGCACAGCTGACAGCTCTGGGGAAGCCAGCTGGGCCAGGGGTCAGGTGGCCCCAGGACTGGAAAAATCTCTGCTGCACCCCAGCGTCCCTCAGGCCACATCCCGGGGAATCATCACAACATCACCCCGTCACTGGTCCCTTTGCACACTTGGAAACCGAAGTCTGGAAAAGCAAAAGGTCAAGCAGAGGCGCATGGCAGCGCTGGGCGCCCAGCTCCCACTCGGCCTCGGCCTCTGTGCTGCATGCCGCTGGAGTGGCGTCCTCGCCCTTCACACACAGCTGCCCTGGAGCTCCCTCGCAGCCACCACTGGTGTCACCTTTTAGCAGCAAGAGCTGCGGGGTCACAGCTCTTCCGGGGTGCAGGGCAGGCCCCGCCCCTGCCAGGTGCTTTCTGAGCTCTTCAGGTCAGGCAGCTGAGCCCCACTCCTGGTGGCGGTGCTCTGGCCACGCCCCAGCCTCCCGACTGCGCTCCGTGGGGAGTGTGTTCTGCCACCACCCCGAGGCTCAGGAATCTGGCCCCAGGGCGGCACCTTATCTATTTTTAAGCACCAGCCCATGAAAGATTCAAGGCTTTCTTTACAGGTGACCAAGTGACACAGTGTCAGGAGCTGTGACAGCCTCAGTGGGTCATGGGTCGAGGGTCCCACGCATGGACGGGGGCTGAGCTCTGAGGGCTGGGCTTTGCCACCCTCCCTGCCTCCGCCCAGAGGTCAGGGCCCCCACAGCTGCCAGCTGTGCAGTAGCCCCCCGCCCCCCGCCTCCTCACAGCCCCACTTTCATCCTGTCTCCTACTTTGGGGAGCACAGGGCCTCACTGCCTCACACCACACCAGGGGAGGCTGTGCCCCCACTTTAGATTGGAGCTGAGGCCACCTGGGTCCTGAAGCCAGATCAACCTGACTTCAAAGCTGGCGCCTGCCTGCCCTCCTGGGCATGCGCTGGTTTGCTTCACCATGTTTTGGGCACCATAGAACAGGCTTAAAAGGAGCACAGGGACCCCAGGCCCCGCCCCGGCCTCCCTCCACAGCCCAGTATCCCCCCTCCCCCAGCCCAGGCTCCCGTGAGCCTCCTGGGCTGCACCAGCTAGTTGGATGGTGTCACCCGGTGTCATGTGCTGCCTGGCAGGACCCCAGCAAATGCCCAGGAGTGCTCTCCTCTGTCCTCAGGCTGGGAGGGGAGTGTATTGCACACTACCAGCAGAGTGGCCCGGCCAGCATGTGCCAGGGAGCTGGGGGCCACCACAATCTCGTCCCTCCCCAGCTCAGTGCACATCTGGGACACAGGAGCAGCTGCCACCCACAGCTGCGAAGCGCTCCCCTAGAGAAAGCCTCTTCTTGGGGTCACTGCCCTCTCAGGTGCTCTCTGGGCTTCACCTAGGCAGAAAGGGTAGGCAGCCTCCCAAGTGCGACCCCCAAGGCAATTGGGCCTCCCTGGCTGGGTTCCCAGCCCCCTCGTCTTCCCTTCCCAGGGGCCCACTAAAAGCTCCAGCCACCCTTTCAACACTTCCTGAGCCAACTGGGGTGGGGAGGAGGGGAGGCTGGGTTCCTGGGGCTCCTGGCCTGGACCCGCCCACCTCTCCTGGGAGTGGAGGCAGCCATGTCAAATCCTCCCTCTTTCCTCAGCCTCACTTCTGAAAGCCTCACCTTCCCATCTGGGAAATGGCCACGCATTTGCATGTGGGGAGTGAGCTATTTATTTGTAGCATTGGGGACTGAACCAGGGCCTTTCTAGCCTCAGTCCTTTTTATTTCTTCTTTTGAGACAGTGCCCAGTGCTCCGTGAGGCTGAGGCCAGAGGGCCAAAGGTTTGTGCCTTGCCTAGGTAACTTAATGACTTATCATAAAGACCCTGTCTCAAAAATTTCAAGAGGGCTGGGGATGTAGGAAAGTACAGACCATGGTACAGAAGGAAGGAGGGAGGGAAAAGGGGAAAGAACAGAAGAACGGAAGGCAGGCAGATGGGAGGGACAAGCTCGCTAGCTATCACAGAAAGCCCTGGCTGGACAGGGCTGCCGCTGGCTCTGGAGGCTGGATGGAATATTCAGTGGCGGGACTGCCCAGAATCCCCAGCCCTCCTGGCGCTCCTCCAGCCCTGCAGAGTGCACACTTGCACCTAGCATGCTCTCTGGTGTGTGGGGGACACTGTCACCTCCCCGGGACCCAAGACCCACTCAGTCCGCAGGGCACAGCCGGAAGATCGGCCCCCGGGGGGAGCCGTCTTTTGGGGAGGACAAAGCCCCTGCTGAGCGGTGAGGGAGGCGCCTGACAACTGCCAGGGCCGAACAGCCTAGAAGGACGAGCCTGCAGGCTCTGGCGAATTTCGCTGTGAAATGCCCACAGGCGACGCCATCCCGCAAGGGTCGCCTTTCCCAAGAAACAGCCCTTTTGGCCTGAGCCCAAGCGGAAGCCCCGCCCCTTGGGGCTCTCTACCTGCGGAGCGTGCTTCCTTCCAGCTTGTCACCAAGAGCGCACGCACGGAGGGCAGAGGTCACATCAGCCCAACGTCACCTGGGTGCTCCAGTGCCAAATCCGGAACACCACGGAGCACGGCCTATACCTGGATCTGCTTTCCAAGGCAGGTCCAAGAGCTCCTCCAGCAAAGTGACAAATGCCTTCGCCCACGTGGGGACCAAGAGCACGGTGGCCTGCCAGGCTGACCAGTTCGCTGGGATGAGCTGAGCCATCGCCTGACAGCCACTGGCCCCGAACCAAGCGCACGGGAGGTGACCCGTTGCCCCAGGATCCCCAGTCCCACCCAGTCCATAAGCTTCCCCCGGCGCGGGCACTGAAGACTGGTTCCAGAACCCCCTCCCAGGAGGACCCGAGGGCCAGGCGCCTGCCAGGTGACCACCCAGATGACCAGTGACCACGGGAGCGGCTCAAGGGCCCCTTTGTGCCGCAACCCGACGGTCACGTCCTTGGGCCGCCCGCGGGCGCGTGGGGAGCGGCGGCTC